GAACGGGCGGACTACCGGTAAATACAGCTTCTGGACCAACCTATGGACCAGGAAGTTCTGGCAAACCTTGATTTAGTGGTACTGGACCTGGTTCACATGCAGGCCCATCATATGGAAGTGGACCCGGTTCAAGTGGCCCAACGTTCGGAGGTGGTTCGAGTTTGAGTGGTCCTGGTTCTAGTTTACACTCAAGTCCATCTTACGGAAGTCATCCAGGCTCGAGTGGTCCTGCATCTAGCCCACATGGTAGTGGTACGCATTATACTGGAGGATTTGGCGGTAGTCCGGGCGTTTTAGGTAATCAACCGCAACAAGGATCAAGTGTTGGATCAGGTACCTACAGTTTACAGGACTATAGGCGAAACATTATTTCATTTAAATATGATTTTACTTCTGTAGGAGCTGGGGCTTATTCCGGTTCTGGATCTGGAGTCGGCGGTGCAGGCGTCGGCGGTGTAGGAGTTGGCGGTGTTGGATCACCGTACAGCCCTGGCGGTATATATTTTTAAAATTATAGTATAGATAATTTTTGTCAAATTAAATATAGAGATATAACGTTGATTTTTAGCTGGCGGAAGTGGACAAAAAGCTCCCGCTGGTGTAGGCTGTATGACTGGTTGCACAAATGGTGGCAAAGGAACTCATTATACTGGAGGATTTGGAGGTAGCCCAGGCGTGTTAGGCTTGCAAGATAAACCAGGAATTAATGTCGGGGCCGGAGGAGGAGCAGGTATATTATGCGACGTAAATTCTTCTCTTGTTTACTATATATTGCTTTAGTAAAGCAAATTACAAAATGTTTAGTTTACGACCCAAAAAAGCTTGCAAAACGTGATATTATGTTTATATACTAATTATAATTATTAGAATATAATTAAATATAATTATTAATGCTTAATTATAAATACATTGAAAAATGTTTCAAATGAAGTATTTATGTAGTTAGCAGTGCAGGATCTTATTCCGGAAGTGGTTCATCACCTGGACACCTTGGATCAGGAAACCTTCTTACGGTAAATAAGTATGCAATATTTATTTAGATTTAAGTTCATTTTTTCAAGGTTCAAAAATCACCAAAATTGATGATTTAGGTTCGCATCGTTTAGGCAAAGATAGTCCAATTTTTGTATTTAAAGCAGATCCTAATTTAAATGCGCGAAAACGAAATTCATTAAAGCATCGTGGGCATTCAAGAGCTATTGCTACTAGAAATTTACAATTACCTACTGAACAAAGTATGGTATATAAATTGCAAGAAGAAAATATAAAAATAAAAAATGCTCAAAGCATTGAACACAATTCTATCGCCCCAGTAGCAACGACCAAACAATCTGCATTAAATAATTCAAATTGCAATCAAAATTCATGTGTAAGAAGTCATTTAGTAAAAGATTATACAAACAGTAATGTAGAAGATGAACCAGGATCGATAAGTGGTAATATCAGTATCAACTTATAAATAATTAATATTGTAGAAATGTGCAAATAATGTTGGAGTAGAAACAAAAAATTCTTGGAATAAGGTGGTAGAATTTGGATACTAATTAACAAGAAACCTGACAAATTCATTATAAAAGAGCGTTGCAATAAAACCATATTGTAATGGGTGCGCGTGGATATCACATAGTTCCTTCTGTAGTTTTCTATAGATTCTGGTAGAAATTATATTAAAATAATTACTTATAGAAAAATCTGTTATTGCAGATAATTCAAAAGTTGAACAATTACCTATCAGTGATCAAACCGCCCATGATATAATAAAGTCAAGATTTAATGAAGATTCTAAGAACAATCATTTGGATCCTACATTAGCTAAATTGAATGACTCTATAAACGAAATACATATTGATAACAATGTTACAATGAATTCAGTATATCTCGATGGAACAGCTTATATTAAAGTTGATACAATGACGCCTACTCCTAACAGCATATCAACCACCACAAATACTGACGACATTTCACCAACAATCAAAATGAATGTAAATACAGAATCTGAAATGGTAGATAATACGATGGGTTTTACGGATTCAGCAACAAGAACATCAAATGTGAATCTAGCATCAAAAAGTGGCAATGATTCAATTATTTCCTTGACACTTCAACAACGTCGATGAATTCAAATAAGTCATCAGAAACTGTATTTGAGATAACTATCCCACTAGAATCTTCAACAATGAGTATGCATTTGAATACAGCAAGCATTGTCGACGATGTAACTACACCAATAAATTTGTCAGTAAACACCACAAGGCAAATGCAGTGTCTGAACCTGTTGATAATCCGAATGCTTCTGCGGATCCAATAATTATGACAACAAATGTAGATATAGAATTAAAAGCTGGCGATCCAATTACTTCTATAGAACCATCGACAATGAAAACAAATATAAATTCAATGCCAGAACTTGTCAGAGATGCTCATACCGATTCATCGAACATTATAATGGATCTGAATACAGTTCCAAAAACTGCCAATGATCCAATGACTAATATAGACTCATCAACAATGACAACTAATGTAATTACAGTATCAAAATTAGATAATCCAGTAACGTTTACAGATTTATCAACGATGACAACAAATGCAAACACGATGTCTAATCCAGAAAAGAACATAAAGGTTACGACTGAAAGCTATATTCATGACGATAAAATGCCATCAACTATGGTTCAAACTACATCTTCAAGTATTCTAAATAATACTCATTTACACTCTAATGAGAGAGATAAAAAATGACACTAATGTCGAAATATCATCATTTGTTTTCAGATGATAAAACAACTGTTCCAACAGAAACAAATCATAAAGATTCTACAGATAGTAAGACATTATTCACAACTGAAATAACCACAGATCAATATTCAACTACTTCGATTGATCCATATACCACTAATCCATATGAAATTAAAATGACTACCGGTTCTACCACAACTTCAGATTATAATAAAGATAAACATGTTATAACTACTACAGATTCAATAACTAGTAACAATATGCTAAAACATGCTGAAAGTTTACCAAAGCAAGAAAATATAAAACACAAAAATTTCATGGAATACATTCCAGTAGTTGTGTTACAGGAATCGCATCCTATTTTCAAACAAAATCCAAATTTGAAACCTAAAAATAAAATAAAAAATAATGATAATATTATCCCCATGGCGACTATGGACGCACCAATTTTAGAAACTAATTTAGAACAAATTTCTGATCAAAATGATGCAACACCGCAAAATAATTTGTCAGATGATTATAAATCAGAAAATAAAAATAATGATAAAAACATGATTGCTGAAGAGACTAGCAAAGTGGATGTACCAATCCTTTCTAATAGATTTGCTGAAAATATAAATGGTCATGTAAAAAATAACCTTTGTGAACACAATTGTAATGAAGGAAAACCACTTGTAGATCCTATTTTGATAAATAACTCAAACCAAGATGATATTTATCAGGGTAAACCAGAATCATACATAAAACATCAGGAACCCGAAAATATAAATACAAATCAATTTGTACAATCAGACCAAAACTCTCAGCCATCGCAGAGTTTTACAACAAACATACCGTTTGAAAACACGAACCAACAGGATTTGGGTTCACAAATTCCTAATTATCCATTTACAAATTTTGGTTTCCCAAATAACTTCTTTGTAAATCCATTCCAAAATGCATTTAACAATTTTACTCCACCAGTATTTCCTTTCAATCAATTTGCCTTAAACAATCCTGCTGCAGAAGCTGCTGCTGCTGCATTAAAAACCTCCTTCGGAGGAGCAAACATATTATCAAACTTAGCTCAGTTACATGGAGCCCCAAATTTATTTCCAGACTTTATAAATCCATCCAATGTGCAACCACAAACATTTTCTGCACCGAATGAAGCACCACAACATAATTCACAAAATAATGAAAATATTGAAAATTCTAATCTATATTCTGATTCAGTTCAATTACCATTTAATGGCATAAATCAATATCCTGACATAAACTCACAAGAATCCACATCAAATTTCGCAGGAAGTGGTGCAGGCGGATCGCCTTATGGTGGAGCTGGAGGTTCAGGCGGACCTGGAACAATAGGATTTGGAGGTGGTCCTTCCGGCTATGGAGGAGGTAAGTTATATATGTAATTGTAACAAAAATTCATCAAAATACTTGATTATTTCCACGTTTCAATAAAAATTGTTTAAATTTGTTTGATTTGTTTAAATTTTCTTTAATTTATATTGAACAGCCGGAAGTAGCAGTGGTGCCTTTTCTGGAGCTTATTCTTCAGCAGGAAGTCTTGCAGGCAGTGGGTCTGGTGTTGGATTTGGAGGCTTACATGGTGGTGCAGGAATTAAAGGAGGTGATTAACTTAAATGAATTAGATCAATTAAGTTTCAATAATATCAGGAGAATTATTTTTATTATCACCATTATTCACAATAATGAGAAAATAATAATATAAAAACTTGTTCATAAGTTGAACATTTTATTAAATGTATAGATTTTTCAAAGTAAGAGTAAATGATTCTATCTTTTAAAAATATTATATAAAAATAAGGGATTTAATTATAAATAAATATAAAAAAATGGAGCAAATATTCGAATGAACTGAAAAACTGGTATCAACAAAAATTGCACATAAAATTACTGAAATAATATCATCATTTGTGTTTTTCACTTTTTTACAGTGACGATATTGATTCTATCATTACAAAGTAGATATCGTAATATCAAATAATTTATTTAAAATTGAACTATTTGATTGATTTGTTTTTTAATATATTAAATAGGTCATCCAGGAAGCTTTTCATCAAGTTCCAGTGGATCATATGCAAGTTCCTACGCCAGTAGTTCCAGTTATTCAGGATAATTTTTATCGAATCCAAAATATATTTTGAAATTTTCTATATATTCTAATGAATAGATATTGATATGATAAGATATAAATTAAGTTAAAATATACTTTTTGATAAATGTGATTTATTATAAAATAAATTATTATAATCTAGATAATATTACCAATTTTGATACTTGATAATTTATAACATATTGTATTCTTGCTTTGTTGATACAAAATAAAATAATATTTTATTATTAGTTCAAATAATTTGATAATATTTAGAAACATTTCTTGTGTGTTGTTTCTCTCAATGTTTCACCAAATACAAATCAAAGTTCATCATTAATTTCATCAATATCAACTTCTTTCTTGAATATTTCTTGAGGAATATGCTTGATTAAATGCTTTGGTGCAACTGGTAAATGAATCGATAATTCGTTTGCCCATATTTCTGACATTTGAATTGGATTTGATACCATTGTTTGTATAATTAAAGAAATAATTATTATGAAAAAAGCACATTTAAACATCACTGCAATAATACAAATTCACGTATAGAAAGGAAATTAATGATTATTATATACCAAAGTAAATTTACATACTTTTGAGCTGAACTATATTATTATATTAAGACGTTATAAGTTAAATTTGTAACATATTGTAATAATTTGCCATTGATTTGGTGTCAATGTCAATCAAATTATTAGAAATATGAATATATAAGCAAGTTTAAGTCGTTTCCAGAGATAAGCACATTCAAAACAATTTGTAAAATTTATGAAATATGTAATAGTTATACATAAATGTTTTATGTATATGTTTCATATTTATTTGAAAACACAAGAAAATTTTTAAAGAATTGTTATCGATAGTATTTAAAAAAATAATATAAAGTAATTGCTTGAATTTATCCATGGTTTTACTACTCAGTATATGTACATCACTAAATTTTAATTAGAACAATAACTAGAATATACATAATCAAATCAAGTTAAGCAGAGTCGTACTCCCAATAGAAATGTTAAAATTGGTACATTTCAAATCATTCTACATATTGGCAAAACAACTTTACATAAAGAACATAATCATAAAGTTCATTTAAAAAGTTTCCTTTCATGTCCATTTACAACCAAAGTATCTTTTTTATCGGGAACTACAAAAAGTCTCATAGATGGTTTCATTGCATTAGTTTGCATTCCGAGGTTTGCTCCATTTCCAGATATTTGCATATTATTTTTCTGGTCATTGTCAATCCCATAAGATTTCTCAATCATATTGACCAGTAGAAGTATTGTGATTAAAACAAACCACAAACCAGATTTACTCAACACTGAAATAACAATAAATTTATAAATTATTCTAGGAAATTCAGAAAAATATTAGTAATCTGGTAATATATTGGTACTAATTATATTGGAATTTTTCCGACATATTTAACTATCTATAGAAGGATATGGTTGAAAATTTTGTGTGAATTAATGAATACGCTGAACAATAATGTACTACAAAATAAAATATGTAATGGTACTATAAATAAAAATGAATACATAATTTTATATTGTAAGAACAAAACACTGGTAAAGAAATAGGAAACAAATCAACTGATTCAGAATTGTTCATGATGAATCTATCATATGAGATTACAAACGATAACAATATATTTGAATCGCCATTAAGTAAAACTGATGTGCATATATGTATGTATGTCGACTTTAATATAAAATAAATTAATAGAATAAGAATAATTTAGTGTGATTAATGTAACTTTAAATCACATATACCAATTACTAAAATACCTCATAATAAATTGAGAGCAAAAAGCTGTTATAGCTACGAAAGTACATACATTTGTTAAACTAAATTCATTATTATATCATTTGCACTATTTCTATCAGTTTTATAAAAATCATTTGATTCAAAAGGATTTTTGTTGTTAAAATTATACCTCATTAAAAATAAAATGAATAAGATAATAAAAGCGAAACAAAATTTTTAGTTTTGTTAATTCATATTGAAATATATATTTTATGGTAGTATAGCACTTTTACTTACTATTTTAGTATTATAGACAATTTTAATAATATTTTTCCACTTTTCTGAGTCACAGATTTGTCACTAGTCTGGTAAATTATATTTTTACAATTGCGTTGTTGTTATTGTTTATTTGACTCATTGACACAAGCATTGATAATGTTATATCTTATGATTGCAATATTTGCTTATGCAAATATACTCATACATCTAATTTTAATAAAACTTGTCGGAATATAAAATTAGCGGAATCGATGTTATATTGACATCAATAAAACATTCAATGAATTTATATTGTAAATATTCAAAACTATATTTCAAGCCCTCAAATACACAATACACGACATCATTTTATATAACATAATTTATAGTTACAATATAACTACTTTTCATCAAAATAATCTTCTTTCGTGTCCATTTATGACGAATGATTACTTTCTCCTCTCAGGAGCTCTAACAATTGCGGCCTTTAATTTAATAACTATGGGCCGATTTTGAATATCATCTTTTTGTTCAAAATTATCTTTTGCATAAGTTTCTTGGATCATGAAAATCATCAAAAATACAGAAAGCAAAACGAAGCCTAATTTCAATTTATTTACCACTGAAACACCGAAATACATAATGTAGTAAAATTGTAGTAAATGCACAAAAATTCACTAAAATTTTACTTTCTTTCACGAAAAATTCACTTTTGTTTGTTGAGTTGTTTTAAAATATATTGCTCGAGTTATAAAGTGAATTTCCATACATTTGTTACACTACTGAAACTTGAAATTGAACTTTTGACTCCAAAAGTGATAAAACAATAGCGTGTATATTAATATATATGTTTTGGAGTGAATAATATATATATATATATATATATATATATATATATATATATTAAAACGTAAGGATTTTAAACGTATGGATTTTAAATAAATAAATTTTTAAAAAAAACTCATACTATTTTTATTGATGTTACGCCCGATTATTAAACTCAAATTAAACATATATATTTATATATATATATATATATATATATATATATATATGTATATAACGCAATATAATACGTTTAATTAGAAATGTTCAAAAATATTCAAAAACAGTTTTTGTACATGCAGATTCATAATATATTTATTATAATAAATATAACAGTCCATACTACAATTATATAAGCATACAACAATTATTCATATCTATAATTGCTTAAACTTGTATATATTATCAAACATCTATAGTATTATTTGTAATATGTTGTATTATATAAATCCAAAATTTTCCATTTCTTATATTAGCTACCATTTTATTCAAGTAACAAATAAACTTTAATGCGGTAAACTTGTAGATAGTTTATTTTATTTTAAAGAAAGTATACTTTCATTCCATTATAATATAGGTGTTTCTAGACAAATCTATACTGATAAATAATTTTTTAAATTAGTAAAAATATCAGACTATGTAAGCCACTATTCATTACTGGTTTCCAATTTCTGCTTGTAGATTTTGTAATTTATTTAAATAATTTTCTTGTATGTCCGTTATCTACAAAAACATTGTTTCTATAGGGGGCATGAAAAAGCGCAAACGAAATTTGCCCAAGTCCTGGAATTCTCTGAATTTTATAAGTACTATCTTTTTGAGATTCATTGCTATTTTCCTGATATTTATTGTCTGCCATCACAATTGAAATAAATATTGCGATCATTATGAACCACAATTTAGTATTTACTAACACTGAAATAACAAATAAAAAAATTATCGCAGGACATTCAATGACATAAAAATAGGAATTGTTAAAATAATATGGTGTTATTATTCTATAGAATGTGATATAGAATATATATTCAGGCGTATTTATCTTCGATATTAAATACAATTCAATAATTTATAAGTTTCTGGAATTAAATATATATTACATAAACAACATTAAGAATAAACAAAAGCAAGAATAGTAAAGATCTTAAGTAAAATAAGAAAGTATGAGTCTATTACAAAATATCAATAGCTAATAAAGTAGTTTTTTCATTACATAGTAAACTGCAATGCATTTTACAAAATAATCTTTATGTAGAAGTGAAATTATGAATAAACTATAAGCAAACTTAATTTACATATGTATGCACAGATTACTTAAAATTATACTTACTGATGATTTTTAAAAATTTTTCTTGTTCACTTGTACACTTTCGTTAATACTTAATATTTCACAGATCAAAACTCAATACAGTATATTTTTTCAACACATCTTATATATATATATATATATATATATATATATATATATATATATATAAGTGTTTATCAATGCAACAATATCCCTCGGTTTATTAGTCATAATGATGTGTCAGCTAAGAATTAATTTCAGATGTTGACTTTTTGATTGCAAAGATGACAACATTGTGTTAATTTATAAATAAATACATGTAAATTTGTATTGTAAATGAAAAAATGTAGGTACCGAGTAAAAATCAC